CAGCACTGCGCGCATGTACATGCAAGGAGATCTACATCTATAAATCTATGGATAGATGTGTATGTACTCATGTATTACACCCTCCCGCACGCACGCAATGGAGCAACATCGGCGGTTGCAATGAATATCATTAGTGCACTTGGCAGTTGCCTACTTTTACGGCTCAGCCATTCTGGCTGCCCTCGCAACAAAGATGGCATCTCGCGCTGATCTTGACGCGTTGCATGAGTCAGTTGCAGGCGCCTTGCGATCTCGCAACCACGCTGCGAGAATTGAAGATTATGCCGCAGATCTACTAGGCGAGCGCCGGCAGAGCAAGTTCGCAATTGCGTTGATCGAATTGGCCGCGTGGGGCGTACTCTCGAGCACGCTCTGTCAGTTTTTGGCCGAGGCAGTTGTCGAGGATGCGCGGCCGCATGAGCCGCACCCAGAAGTGCTGAAAATTTCTGAGATAGGTTTTGGCGGCACTTACCCTGGCAATTGCCGCCGAGACCTGTTCAACCAGTGCGCAAAGAACATTGACCTGCCAAAACCAACGCAAGTTCGCATACCGTACGTTGAGACGCATTTGGGCAATGAGGTTCTGAAGCACACCATGTACCCCATCATGATGCCGCATTTGATCTTCCACTGTTTGCACGAGAAGTATAAAGAAAAATTCATGAGCCTTGCCTGCGCGGGGGCGTCGCCGCGGCATTTCTGGCGTCAGGTCTCTGGTTGGGGGTTGAAAATTATTTGTTATTTGTTCGCCCGTGTTTGTAAGATTAATGCGTTATGAAAACATTGTTTTGGAAATGTAACGCAATGTTTCCCCAGGTGCGGCACGACGACCCAAAACTGTGGAATAACCCAATGCTGGGCATCAGCGGGTGGCAAGATACATTCATTCCAATCATGGTCCACGCTGATCATGTGCCTTTCGCAAAAAAGGGGAAGCTGTCGGTTGTATCATGGTCATTTTTCCTTGCTTCTGGAGAAACTTGGGACGTTGTTATGCTGGCCGCGGCATTCCCTGCAAAAGCAGCTGCAAAAGCTAGCGTTCATGGGGAGGATACATGGAATGTGATATGGCAATGGCTTTGCTGGAGTTTCAAAGCGCTCTTTGATGGCGAGCATCCACGTGCTAACCCATATTGTGCTTCGTGGGATCCAGATTTGCAGCCAGTTCTGTACGCGTTCAGTCGTTGTCGCGAGAGAATCGCTCAGGGGCAGTGGCGTGCTGTGATATGGTCTTGCTGCGTGGACATGGAATATGGGAGCAACGATCTTGGCTTGGCTCATTTTAATGGGAACGACCCTTGCTGGCTGTGCAGAGCCAACCGCACTGACCGCAATGTCCGAGATGTGTCGAGGCATGCCGCTTGGAAGTCCACAATTCTCAGTTCCCGCGAGGGCGTGTCAACCCCGCCATCCTCCCATCCTGTTTGGCGGATCCCTGGGATGTCTCGCTTCTGCTGCGCCGGCGAGTGGATGCATATTGTGGATTTGGGCTTATCCCCCAATCTCATAGGTTCTACATTTTGGGAGATCATTCACGATTCGCCGCTTCCTGGGACAAATGCAATAAAACTGGGGTGGCTATGGAGTAAGTTGTGCTTCCATTATGATGCTTTAGAGATAACCAAAAATCGGATCTTAGATTTGAAAGCGGATAACTTCACAAATCCAGGCGGTTTTGCTTGTCTGTCATGCAAAGCTGCCCATGCACGAGCATTGCTTCCAGTAGTCTTGGAAATTGTCAAAGATCCTTCGATCAACAGGGGCAGCCGGCGCGACCTGCACCGCATTGCCGCTTATGAAGCATTGGACGGCGCCCACAAAGTGATTTACGAAAGCGATGGTGTACTCACTGATGACCAATTTCGGCGCTTGGATGAGTTCGGGAACAAATTTATTTTGCATTACAACTTCTTGACGAAGTATAGCCTCGATCACAACCATCTGTGTTACAACCACACGTTCAAACTACATTTCTTCTTTCATATGATTGCGCTCGCAAAGTTTCTGAACCCTCAGTTCACATGGGCGTACATGTTTGAAGATTTCATGGGCAAAATCGCCCGTTGTGGTAGATCCTGCGCTGCTGGCACGACGGGTGTGCGCGTGGGAAGCAAAGTGCTCGAATCTTGGCGCGTTGCCTTTTTCCTGCGTTGTGACCGGGAGAGGAGGGCAACTTCGTTGTCTGGTTGAGCGTCTGACGAGATTTTTTGGAAACAACGGCTCTGCATTGTTGGCTTCGCCAAATGCCGCCGGCGCTTGGATCCCAGAGCCCTGACGCTGGATATTGATTTGACGTGCGCGGTTCTTTGGCACCGTAGCACGCGCGCGCGACGCCACGATCGGGCATGGAGTTTCCTAGCATGATGCTGGGTACTCCCAGCGCGCAAACTGCTACTGCCAGACAACAGGGAAACATCAGATGCCAAGAGACCCCAAGAAGAATCCCTGAGGACTCTGACCCACGTCAGCGTCGTCGTCGTCGCCGCCGCCGCCGTCGTCGTTGTTCCCCTTCAGGGTCGGCGGCACCGTAAGGCCTTCGCAATATGCCATGGGTGGGGGGCCCCTTTGGGCGACTTGTTGATATCTGCGAGTCAGCAATATACCGACCGACCTCATACACATACATTTAAAAACTCACGCTAGGGTAAAATGACATAGAAGCCCCCGCAGCGCGGATAAGACCGAGGGGTGAGCGGCACGGCCTCGAGATGCACCGCGTCTTCGAATCGCGTTTCGAAATCACGCGTCTCGAAAATCAAGCGTCTCGGTTCCGTAAATTGGGACCAAGGAAACGAGACACCCCTTTTCGCGACGATAATATTACATTCGGCGGCTGAGATGCGCCCTACTCATGGTCTTCATTTTTCGTTTCGAGACGGGTCGCGGATGGGGCGTCGACAACAGCAACAATACGAATCCGCGCAGCGAGACTTCACTTTAGCCATGCACCCAGGGAAGGTGTAAGACCGTTCTGCCCCCTCACCTTGATTTTACATCGGTATTGGACCACCGAAACATGATATGATTGGTGATCGCTACCACACCACTGTTGGACAACCACCGAACCGGAATCGAACGCACTCAGATCGACGATCGGCATTACGCCGGGACCTGAACACTACCATACCACTATCGGAACAGTATATGATTCACAGCCCCCACCGCACCACTATCGGAGCAGTATCGGAAACTATATGGTTGATGACAACTACACATCCGTTATCGGAACACTATTGGATCAGTATCGGAATCACGTTCGAACCAACACAACTTCCCGATCAGAAAATCTGATTTTCTATCACCTCCATCGGAAAATCTGATTTCTATCACTTATATCTGATATTTCGATTCTCTTGGGTGCCGGCGCCGGTACCGGTGCCGGTGCCGGTGCCGGTGCCGGTGCCGGTGCCGGTGCCGGTGCCGGTGCCGGTGCCGGTGCCGGTGCCGGTGCCGGTGCCGGTGCCGGTGTCGGTGCCGGTCCCTGACTCCTGATCCGCCCTACTTTGGGCGATTTCGAAAGTAGGGCGGAAATTTCCGCCCTACTTTTAAGGCCCCTTTGAGCGTCGATTTCCGCCCTTGAGGCTCCTTTGGCGTCGATTTCCGACACAATTTTAAGTCGGAAAATCATCCAAAGTACGGCGGATCAGGAGCCAGGGGTGCCGGTGCCGGTGCCGGTGGCTGGTGCCGGTGCCGGTGGCTGGTGCCTGTGGCCGGTAGCCGGTGCTGGTGCCAGTATTGGTGCCGGTGGCGAGTGGCCGGTGGCCGGTGGCCAGTGCCAGTGCCGGTGCCGGTGCCGGTGCTGGTGGCCGGCCGTTGTGGCCGGTGCCGGTGGCCAGTGGCCCGTGGCTGGGGCCGGTGCCGGTGCCAGTGCGCGGTGCTGGGTGTCGACACCAGCACCGCTGGCACCGGCGCCGGCACTGGCCCCAAGACGGCCCACACAGAGAAGGATCCAAGACAACCCAAGGGGGCTCCAAGATGGCCAGGGAGGGACCCAAAAGGACACCAACTCGGCCCAAGGAGGTTCTCAGACGGCCCTGAAGGCTTCCAGAGAGCCTCAAGACGACCCAGAAAACCCACCAAGACGGACTCCGAAAACGCCAGACGGCCGCGCCAGGGGGCCCCAAGGAGCTTCCGAAGTTCCCCCCCGCGGGACGCTGCCAAGACGCCACGGAGTCCCCAAGGCCCGAGGTGTCACGCGTGACGGCCTCCCGTGTCCCCTCGCACACTCGCAATCAAGAGTGCTAGGGTGACACGGTGGCGGGACTTGCCGCAAGCACCTCCTCCTCCTCCCCTTCCTCCTCCTCCTCCTCCTCCTCCTCCTCCTCCTCCTCCTCCTCCTCCTCCTCCTCCTCCTCCTCCTCCTCCTCCTCCTCCTCCAACTCATCGTCATCGTCTTCCTCGTCGTCGTTTTCCTCCTCGAAATCTACGCGCCTATGAGCGGGCGAGTCGGGACAGGCGGGCGGACCCTAAAGGACGGTCGGGCGAATCGGGCGGGCTGACTTTAACGGGCGGATCGGGCGGGGCCCTAAAGTGGGGGGGGCATCATTGACTGGCGGGCGGGGCCCTAAAGTGGGCGGGGCCCTACAGCGCGGGAGGCATCATCGACGGGCGGCGGGGGGCGCTCCCCAGGGGAAGGGCATTATTTAATCATAGAAGTGCCTGGGTGGACTAGTTCAAACATGATTTATGCGCGACATATGCCAAAGCACGCGTTGCAAAACGTGCGCAGCATGCACGTAATTCTGCAGATCTGAAGCTAAATGCTACTCAGGTGTGGGCAGGCTGGACAGATCCAGCCCTGGAGTCTCCAACTCCGCCTGATCTAGCGCGCTCGAACTCGAGCTCTAGTGCTCCTGCTTAAAATACGTATGAGCGGGCGCATGCGGGCAAAGCAAAACTGATCTTATAGAGGTTTTCCGACTCATCCTACTAGGCCTGATGAGGCTCGACGCTCCATCCCCCCTCTGCTTGGCCCCTCCGCCTGTCCCCAACCCCCCCGCCTAATGCAAGCCGCCAGGCGGCGTGCTCGGAACTGGCGGGCGCAAGCCCTGCGAAGCGCCCATCGCGACCGGCTCCGCGGCGCCAGAAGCACTGGGCGTCAGGGGCAGCGCCGGCGTCACTCGCCCGGGCGCCGCGCGAAGGCGGGGGCTGCGCGGGGGGGCCGGCCGCGCGGCTCGGCGTCGCGTCAGCGAGCTGCGGGCGCCCCTCGTGGAACTGGGCGCGCTTCTGTGACAGCTGCCTCAGTGACACGCGGCAGCAGCGCATGAGCTCGTTGTGGAAGAGCGCCCTCCCAAGTTCTGAGTCGGGCCAGCCCTTGAGAAACACCTCGCCGTTCTGCTCCTGGCACTCCCCCAGGCGCGGGAACTGCTCGAAGGCCGCCTTAAGCACCGCCACCGCTTCGGGCTTGGACGGGCGCGCTCGCCTCTTCCGCTTTGCGGGGGCCTCTTGGTCCAACACGGCCACGCTGTAGAGGTCGACGCAGGCGTCCACGGAAATCTGGCTTTTCCCGGTCAGGAGCACACGACGGATGAGCTCTCTGTCCTTGAAAGCTGCCTTCGTGAAAACCATGGCCCCCCCTTCGCCAAGGCCCTGATTGTCGAATTGCGCCTCGCCCGCCAAGTCCGCGAACGTCAGCGCGCGCTCGCCCGAGCCCGGCGCCTCGCCTCCTGTCGGGGGGGCACCGGCCAGATCGCTCTCCGCGGCGCCCGGACTGGCGGGCTGCGAGACGTCGACATTGCCGCCGCCAGCCCGCGCGGCAGGGCGCGCAACGTCAGCCACCAGGCCGCCAGCGGGAACCGGGCCCTGGGGCGCCGCCGGGCAAGCTGGCACCTGCGTGGAGAGCGGCGCGGCGTACGCATGAGGGTGATAGTGACCCCGAACAGGGCGCGCCAAACGCCCTGGCTCGTTGTCGCCGTCGCTCTCGCCGTCGGCAGCGTCGCCTGCGGGCGCGCAATTCAAGGAGGGAGGGGGTCGACCTGGCCTAACACCTCCTCCTCCAACACCCGAATCCTAAGACCCCCACCCTAACCCCCGTAACCCTGACACCCTGACCCGAACCCTAACACCCTCATCCTGACGCACGAACCCTGGCCCCATAACACCGAACCCCTCAAACCCTAACCCTGGCACAGTAACCCTATCACTAACCGTGCCCCTAACGCGCTGACGCTAGCACCATACCATAACCCCAACACACTAACCCTAACACCTTAACCCTAAGACCCCCCCACCCCCGAAACTGAACCCTGACCCCGCGTAAACCCGAGCGCGCTAGCCCTAACCGTAACGCTCGAAAACTAACATCCTTAGCTTTTCACCATAACCCCACCACCTTCACCCCAGCACCACAATCAAAACACCGTTACCCTAACACCCTGACGCGAACACCCTAACCGTACCCTAATGCGAACCCGAAAAAAAGCCCGAGCACCGTATCCATGGCCCCAGTCATACCATTCAAGTTCTAACGCACCCTGGCCCAAACCTTAATACACCAACCGTGACGCCCTCACCCGAACCCTGACACTCGAACCCTAACTCCTTACCCCTTACACCGTAACCCGAACACCCTTGCTCTCGCCATAGCACCCTGGCCCCAACGCCCGAACCCTACCACACGTTTCCTCACACCCTGACTCTAACCGAACATCCACACCCCCTAAGTCGAACACCCTAACCCTCACACCCTCACCTGAACACAACACCCGAGCCCGAACATCCCAGTCCCAAACCTAGCACCCTGGCCATAACACCTTAGCCCAACCACGAACACCCTAGACCGAACCATAAGCCCGAAACCCAAACACCCTAACCTTTACACCCTCACACCCTCTCACTAACACCCTAACCCTGAATCCAAAGCCCCATGAACCTAACTCAGACACCGTAACGCACTAATCCTGACACCCTAACCCAAACACCCGAAACCCGCTCCTTTCACCCACACCCTCACCCCAACACACTGACCCAAGCCGGGGCCCGCGCACGACCATTCCGCATTCCCCAATCAGAGCTTGCCTCTGTAGGGGTCCTAGCGGATTCATATGGTTCGGTGAGGTGGGGCGCCGATTACGGTGGCAGGGGGCCGGGTGCCCGGGCGTCCCGATGCACGGGTGCGTCGTCGCCGATTTCGGTGGCCAGGCCAGGGTGCCTGGGTGCCCAGGAACCTTATAGCCCCATAGCACAATCGCCATATAGTTCGATCGCCTTATCTTCCTATAGTGCCCTATAGACCTATAGCCCTCTTGCCCTCTTGCCCTATAGCCCTTTAACCCTATAGCCCTATAGCCCTTTAGCACTATAGCATTATAGTCCTGTAGCCCTATAGTGCCCTTTAGCCCAATGGCCCAAATAGCGCATATAACCTTGTATGTATAGCCCTATAGCATAATAGCCCTATAGCCCAATAGCCCTATAGCACAATAGCCCTATGGCCCCACAGCCCTATAGCACTCTAGCCCAAGAGCCCTATAGACCTCTAGCCCAGCAGCCCAATAGACCATATAGCCCATCTAGCCCCATACCCTCATAGCCCCATAGACCCCAAACAATAGGATTGGGCTTTTCTCCGGTATATATGTTGATGCGGATGGGGCGTCGGCTCTGCCTTTGCAAAGAAGCCAGGTGCACCGTCTTCGTCCAGAGCAGCTCGCCATATGGTCCGGATGGCAATGCTGATGTCGAGCATGCGCCTGGCGCACTGGACGTGCTGGGTGGTGATGAGCGGCAACCCCGAGGCCGCGTCCAAGGTGCCCCCGCCTCCAGAGTAATCCAGCACGGCAACGAGAGCAGCCTGAACGCCCTGCTGGCCCGCGGCGTTGGCCTCCAGCGCAGCCAAAGTAGGATCGTCGTCTCCTCGGGTGGCGAAAAACGTGCAACCCCAGATGCGTGCGCAACCTGGGGTGAAGGTTCCTGGGGAAACCTAGATGTGCAACCCCAGGTGAACCACCTGAAAAATTACACGTGCAACCAAGGGTGAAGGTTCCTTCCTACGTCGAAAAACAACTAACGAAAGATGTGCAACCACGCATGACGGCTGTCGAAAACCGAAATGAGCGCAACCCAGGGTGATGGTCTCGTGGCAAGGAGAAACCCGCACCCCAGGTTGCACTCGCAGCTGGGGTTGAACGTTTTTGGCTCTCTGGTCTCCTCGCAACTGCGCGCGGATGCTCTGTGCCACTTGGTTGCCCGTCATGATATTGCGCGCCCCCTCCTCGAACGGCAAGATCGCCTGCGGCTTCTTGGCGAAAAGCTCTGCAACCCTCCTGGCCCCCGCTTGGATGTGGCCCGTGGGGTCCGGCAGGTCCCCCCTGTTAGAAATTCGGAACTCGGTCCGCAACTGCGCGTCGCCTACGTCGGACGGGGTAACCCGCAGGTATCGCAACCGGGACTCCTCGCCATCTGGGAACTCCACCTTGTATCCGCCAGCCGGGCCCACGAAACTGCGAGCCTGGGAATTTGCTGCCGACGCCTCGCCCGTCTCGGTGTCCCTCTCCAAATACTGGGCCGCGGCCTCAGGGGCGTCAAGGTATGTCTCCCAGTTGAACGTCTGCGCCTGCTGGGGGGCGAGCGGCAGCCACGCCCACGCGGAGACGCCGCGCGGGAGGCGACTCCCCGCGGGCAGCGCAGCGTGGCGCGCAGCGGCCTGGTCAATGCAGGCGACGAAGCGCTCCTTAGTGCACGCCGTGTGGTTACCCACGATCCCCCTGTCCATGGCTATGAATTTCCCAGGATGTCCGTTGCCGAGCAGAGACACCGAGACGCGTTTGCCGCGAGACTCGCCAAAGGTCGCGCTTGTGCGAGTTGCCCGTCTCGTCTTGCCACTCGCGATGAAAGTGTTCAAGGTGGACGCGTGGACCGTCGGCGCCCGATCCTTCTCTCCTCCTCCTCCACCTCCTCCTCCGCGGCCGGTAGCGAGAAGGCCGAGGCCGTCCCAGAACTCGTACGCCTCGTCTAGATTGAACGCCCTGCCGCCCCGCACATCTGATTGCCTGAACTCGGCAACCCGCCCGTCGCCCTCCGAAAAATCAACGAGGGGAAGTCCGCTGGAGCACCGGTAAAAGAATTCCGTGAAATTGAAGCTTTGGAGACAGATACTCTTCACGGTCACAGGGGGGGCCGTCGTCGAGGAGCGAGTCGACGTGCTCGCCAATGACGTCGTCGCACGTGTCGAAGATCTCCTCGCACACACTGAAAAGCTGGCTCTTCCCCGCCTGTGCGTTCCCTATCTGGAACACTGGTGCAATTAATGGAGTGGGCTTCTGGCTCCATATCTTGACGGCGGCGCCATTTGTAAGAGCCGCCATGGGGCCTCCAACCATCAAGGCGCTCGTGCAATACCCTTGGCACGTTGTGTTAACGATGGGCTCCAAGAACTCGCGCACCTTAGGGGGGAGGTGCTCCGCCGGGCTGAACTCACTGGCGACGCGAGCCATCGCCCTCGCAAAGAGTTTCTTCACCTGCTTCTGGGACAGACTCTCCGTGTTCTTCCCTGCCATGGCCGCGCAGTGCGTGACGGCGCGGTCGCGTCGCGAGCATGACCTGCAGGACTCGCTGCGGCAATCCCACGAAGGGGGACCTTTGAGCCAGGGCGCTGCGTGCGAGGCTGGCAGATGGAACCTCGCAGCGGGGCAGCGAAGCTGGGGCCTTTGTCTCGCCTTCGAATCGGCATCTTCGCGCGGGTGCAAAAGCAGCGGCCCGACCTCCTCGCGCCCGCCACGTCAGATCGATGGGCCGTCATGGGCCGTCTGCCACGCTTTTTTTTCACGATCGGCAAAATTCCCAAAACCTGCGGGGGGGCGGATAACCCCGCTGCACGCTCCAAAACCGCGCCCGAGGCCCTGGCTATTGCAGGGCGACGGAAAGCACGACGCGCGCAGCGAAACTCCCACGGCCTCCAGAAATCTCCAAGACAGGGCCGCGAAGCTCTGAGGAAGCCCCAGGAGCTTTCGAGTGCATTTTCGCCCCTCGCCCCATCCCTTCCCCCGTCGCACCCCGCGCCCCTCGCCCGACCCATGATCCGAACGTTGGCAGGAAGGAGAGGCCGCGAGAGGCCCCGTGCATCAGAGCTGTCTCGGCTTCTTCTCGGCCGAGGCCGAGGCGGCCTCGCTCGCCCGAGCAACCTTCCTGGCGGCAGTGGCCTGGGCGCCCCTCATGCGCCCCAGCGTCTTCATGTTCGACGCGTCCACCATCTCTTGCACGTAGAACTGGGAGGCCCACCGGCCCACGTGGTGGACCACGTGGCCCAGCGGGGACAACTCGCTGTTCATGATTTCGCAGATGTTTGTGGGGAACTTGCTCAACAAGGCTGTTGGCCTCCAGCCCCGGCAGGCAATGTTCGCTGCACCACTTGCCCACGTGCCCGCTGGAATGGTAATCGTCGACAATGTAAGCCGTCTCGGTTGCCAACCGCGCAGCCACGGCGGTGCCCTCCCCGCTCTTCTCCGCCACGAGGCGCAGGCGGCGCGCGTCGTCGTGGACGACAATCTTGAGGTCGGGCATGTGGGCCGCCACTATGGCGAGGAATCGGTGCCGCTGGCTGAGGGGCTCAGCGCACATGAGCTCTTCCACGTGCGCCAGAATGCCAGACGCGGATACGGCCGTCAGGAAGCCCGCTGCGCGGGCGGCTGCAACGATGTGCGCGTCCGTCTCCTTGTGCGTGGAACACTCGGAAGCGGCGCGTGGCCCGTTCGAGCTCCGGGATGCCACGAAGCTCTTTTCTTTGCGCCCTTTCTTGCCAGCCGCGCCCTGCTTTCGAAGCGCCATGCGGCGAGCCCGGCGCGCTTGGATGCGCGCGTCAGCCCCAGTGCCGAAATACTAAGCCAGCGCATCTGGAGAGACAGCGCACGCGGGCTGCCAGCGACGCGCAAAGCCTTTCAGCTGCACCTCCAGGGGGGGCCAATCATCTGGCCCATGCAGGGCTCGGCGCAACCGGCGGTTGCATGCAGTCTCGTGCGGCGCCGGCGGGTCAGCCACTGACGCCTTGGCATGCTTGCAGCACATCGCCCCCTTCCCATGCGGACGGTCTGGGCACCCTCGCAAAAGGTATTTGTCCAGCTCGGCGCAGTAGACCACGTGAGAGAAAGGCATGCCGCACGTTCGGCGGTACAACTTGGCGTTGCCATCGATGGCAAGAATGTCTGTGCGGTCTCCAGACAAACGGACCTGCTCCAAACGCCGGCGGAACATCAACGGCCCATACCAGCGCCAACTCTTCTGCACCAGGGCCTCAACGGAGAGACACAGCAAAACTTCTGCCAACTCGTCAAATTTCTCGGGTGCCCCCTTCTGGCATCGCTTCCACAGAAGCTGCCGCACCCAAGTGGAACTCAAGTTCGTCCTTGCCCGCGCGAGCACGCCTGGGCCGTGCATCACGCGGAAGATGGTAGCCTCGCCCATGAAGGAGGAACGGTGAACCAACAGGCGGCACCGCCACTTCCGCAGCCACAAAACGGAAACGCCGAAACTCTTTGACAACAGCCAAAAATCCCGATGACTGAAATCAGCATCGAGACGTTTCTTGTACGCCCTGGCGTCGCCGGGTACAGGCTCTTCTAGGAAACCGCACCAATACCGTGTTCGGCGCCTCACCTCTTTTGTCTGGCCGTTGGCAGTCTGCACCGTCATCACATCGAAACAACGGGAACACCACCGGGAACACCACCGGGTATAACAGCCCAAATGACACAGCACATTGTGAGTGAATCAACGTTGGGTGAAACAGTTGGCTGTCCTTCGTGGCCCCAAACGCAGCACTGGAAAGGCGTTGCGTTTCAAAGCCATGGCCTCCAGTACGCCTGGCCGTCTGTGTGCCACGTCCACTTGAAGCCCTCCTCCGCGGCCCAGCGTTGCCGCAGCTCCAAGCTGCGAAGTTCCGTGCACGCGTGGTTGGAGCAGCACGGACACAGGGGAGGCCCCATGACGGGCCGCCTCGATCCGAAACATATTGTGCGCGGAAGGGGTGGTGGTGATAATGATACTGGTAATGTTTGTCGCCGTGTTCTTGCAATGCATTAATTTGTTATCGATTGGACTGCAATCGATTGGACTGCAATCGAGTTGTTCCCCACATCCTGAGTGGGGGTCTTGTTTTCCCAGAACATTCTCTCCTTCTCCCTCCCGCCTCCCGCCTCCCAGTGCCCCTCCCACCCCTCCAGGGAGGCCCCGCCTGAGCGAGGAGGGTATCGGAAACCCATACTGTTTACATGGTTTCGTGCTCCTCCCACCCCTCCAAAGAGGCCCCGCCTAAGCGAGGAGGGTACCGGAAGCCCATATTATTTACATTGTTTCATGCCCCTCCCATCCCTCCAGGGAGACCCCGCCTGAGCGAGGAGGGTATCGGAAACCCATACTATTTACATGGTTTCGTGCCCTTCCCGCCTCTCCAGGGAGGCCCCGCCTGAGCGAGGAGGGTATCGGAAACCCATACTGATTACATGGTTTCGAAACCCTCCCATCCCTCCAGGGAGGCCCCGCCTGTTTCGTGCCCCTACCACCTCTCCGGGGCGGCCCCGTCTGAGCGAGGAGGGTATCGGAAAACGACACTATTTACATGGTTTCGTGCCCCTCCCACTGACATGGGTGAGGAGGAAGAGAACATTACCTATCCATCTCACGTCTTACTCCTCCCACTGAGGAGGGTGAGGAGGAGGGGGAGTTCTGCGATGAGGAACGCTTCATCATGATGATGGTGATGACGATGGTTATACTGCTGTTCACGATGACGGTGACGATGGCGATAATGGTGATGGACGATGACGATAACGGTGATTATGATGATGATGGTGATGATGCTGATGATGATGACGATGATGATGATGATGACGATGATGATGACAACGATGGCGACGACGACGACGACGACGACGATGATGATGATGATGATGATGCAGATGCTGGTGATGATGACGATGCCGCTGCTGATGCTGACGTTGCTGGTGCTGTTGATGATGATGACGACGATGATGTTGATGATCGTGACGTCCACGATGATGCGGACGATGATGATGCCAAGGACGGTGATGGTGATGATGATGACGATGCTGATGATGATGACGATGGTGGCTACGACGATGATGATGATGACGATGGCGCTGACGATGATGATGATCATGCTGATGATGATGAGGATGATGATGATGATGGTTATGATGATGCCGATGATGTTGACGATGATGCTGATGATGATGATGCTGATGATGATGACGATGATGCTGATGATGACGACGACGATGCTGGTGATGGTGATGGTGATGGTGATGGTGATGATGATGATGATGATGAAGATGATGATGATGCCGAGGATGAGGAGGACGAGGAGGAGGAGGACGAGGAGGAGGAGGAGGAGGACTCGCTTGAAGGAGGAGGGTCGCGGACAGCATTACTCTTTACCAGGTTTCGTAGGCCTCCCCCCTTCCAGCGGGGCCCCGCCAGAGCGAGGAGGGTATCAAGAACCCGTACTATTTACAAGGCTTCGTTTCCTGAACACCTGTCCTCCCTCCTCCTTTCTTTCGTCTGCCCTCTTCGTGCGTACTTACTCGTTCGATGAGCTTCTCCTTCGTGTTGATGCTGTCGTACCCCATGGGTCCCACGAAACCGTTTATCTTTATGTGGGGAACTCCGTTTGCATAATTTTACAATTGATTGGAGTGCAATCGATTCCACTGGGTTTGCACTTGATTGGCTTGCAATCGATTGGACTGGAACCGCTGGGGGGGCGCACAGGGCAGCGACGAGGAGGCGGCGACGGGACGGTGACGGCGAGCAAGGAACCGCCAGACCGACCCTCAGGCCAAGACGACGGGCGGCGACGACGCAGCAAGGGGGGGCGACGGCAAGGACGGAAAAACCAGACCGCCCCTCAAGCCCAGACGACGGGCAGCGACAGGGCGGCAACGGCGAGGAGAGAGCCGCCAGACCGCCCCTCAGACCCAGCTACTAGGAAAGAAAGAAGGACCCCGAAATGCAAACACTGTTTGGGAAATGTCATGATGTTCAATGATGTTCATCAGCCGGTGCCTGTGCGGGTGCCAGTGCCGGTGCTGGTGCCGTTGCGGTTGCGGGTGTGCCGGTGCCGGCGCCGGCGACGGCGCCGGCGACGGCGACGGCGCCGGTGCCGGTGCCGGTGCCGGTGCCGGTGCGCCGGTGCCGGTGCCGGTGCCGGTGCCGGTGCCGGTGGCCGGTGCCGATGCCGGTGCCGGTGCGCCGAAAGCCGGTGCCGGTGCCGGTGCCGGTGCCGGTGCCGGTGCCGGTGCCGGTGCCGGTGCCGGTGCCGGTGCCGGTGCCGGTGCCGGTGCCGGTGCCGGTGGCCGGTGCCGGTGCCGGTGCCGGTGCCGGTGCCGGTGGCCGGTGCCGGTGCCGGTGCCGGTGCCGGTGCCGGTGCCGGTGCCGGTGCCGGTGCCGGTGGGCGAGAATCGCTCTATAGTGCCCGGAGGGGGGGACAGAGTCTACTCTCTTTTCTGGCGGTGCAATGCATGCGATGCAAACGATGCAATGCAGTCCATGCGGTGCAACCTATGTGGCGCAATGTCTGCGATGCAACCTATGTGATGCAATATGTGTGAGGTGCTATCTGTTCGATGAAACCTATGTAATGCAATCCGCGCGGTGCCATCTGCGCGGTGCAACTCACCCTGCCGAACTTGCAGTTCGATCCCGCTGCTCGGTTGGGGGGTGGTTCCGACGTGAATCGGAGACCCGCCTACCAGAAAATCGGTTTCGGCTTCGGGTTCGCGTCGCGCGCGCCGCGCGCGCGCGCGCGCGGGCGAGGCGAAGCTGCGTGGGCGGGCGTGGCTGGGCCGCGGCCGGACCAAATATTGCCCCTCCGGCGGCCGGTGCCGCGCGGCGCCCCGCCGGTGCCCCGCTGGTGCGACGAAATCTTCCTGTGGCTGGGCCGCGGCCGGACCAAATGTTGCTCCTCCAGCGGCCGGCGCCGCGCGGTGTCCCGACGGTGTCCCGCTGGTGGTCCGTGGTGTCCCGCGGTGTCCCGTGGCGTCCCGTTGGGCGAGATCGATCGTGAGATCGATCGTGAGATCGATAGTGAGCCCCGAAGTGTCCCGCGGTGTCCCGCGGTGTCCCGTTGCGTGAGATCGATGGTGAGATCGATAGTGAGATCGACAGGTGTCCCGTGGTGTCCCATTGAATGAGATCGATACTAAAATCGATGCGGTACCCCGAGGTGCCCCGTGGTGTCCCGCTGAGTGAGATCGATAGTGAGATGGACAGGTGTCCCGAGGTGTCCCGTGGTGTCCCGTCGAGTGAGATCGATACTGAGATCGATAGTGAGATCGATCGTGAGATCGATGTGGTGCCCCGAGGTGTCCCGAGGTGTCCCGAGGTGCCCCGTGGCGTCCCGCTGAGTGAGATCGAGAGTGAGATCGATAGTGAGATCGACAAGTGTCCCGCGGTGTCCCGCGATGTCCCGCGGCGCCCCGTTGAGCGAGATCGATAGTGAGATCGGTTGAGTCAGACGCTGGCCCCCCCCCTCCCCCCCCCCACCACGCACGCACACACGCGCACACACACAACCCCCTCAAACGCCCGAAGGGTGGTCGCATGGGTAAATAATGCTGGAAAAAAGCGCATGGTTTACGCAGCAATTCGCCAAAGAGCGATTGGAACATCGGCGCCGCGACACCAACGGTTTTCACTGATTTTGGCACGCGCGCGCGACGGCGCGCACGCGTGCACTTCGTCTTATTATTTGCAAGGTCTTTTTTGAAAACTGATGATTTGTGATCTGCGAGCGCGCGCGAATCATATATGTT